GGTATTATCTCTGCTTTAAATGTCTGGTAGAATTCCCCAGGGAAGCCATCTGGTCCTGGACTCTTATTAGTTGGGAGATTTTTGATAACTGATTCAATTTCTTCGCTGGTTATGGGTCTGTTCAAGCTTTCTATTTCTTCCTGTTTGAGTTTTGACTTCCAAAAGTCAAAGTGTGGGTGTTTAGGAATTTGTCCATTTCTTCCAGGTTGTCCAGTTTGTTGGCATATAATTTTTCATAGTATTCCCTGATAATTGCTTGTATTCTGAGGGATTGGTTGTAATAACTAAAAGCTTTTTTTACAATTTTTAAAATAGGCTTCCTGTTATTTGTATTGCTGTTATTTTGAAATTTACCATCCTAATTGAACATCAGTTTCAAAGTAATTGATTAATTAAGTACATAATCCTATTGTATTATGTATTCACTTCAGTAATCGTTAAGAAATGATTGTATGTTTTGAAGGCTTTTGAAAATTAGTCTTCTTTTGCATTATGTTTCATTACAGTGGTTAAGTTTCATCCTATGAGTACTTTTGACACACTCATACCATGCATACCATGCTATAGGATTAAATAATTTTACTGCAGAGTTAAAATAGAAGTGTGTAATGAATAACTTTTATAATAGTACTTTGGGTTATTATTTTATACAGACAAGTAATAGATAACAGGTAGAATTTTACTGCTACCAGTAAGGAGAACATGCGTATAGTTTTTTTTCTGCCCACCAGGACTAAGCTGTTTGAAATAATGCAGATTTAATGTTTGTCATCTCTCTTTTCTTGATTCTAGATGATACATCCATATACATTTTTAAAGTTTTTTTTTTTTTTATTACAGTTACCTGCCATGGTTTGAAGTATATTACAAGCTTCTAAATACTCTGGCAGATTACTTGGCTAAGGAACTGGTAAGCTATGTTTTTTCCTTACTTTTTTTTTAATGTGGTTAAATATACATAACATAAAGTTTACTATTTTAGCCATCTTTAAGTGTACAGTTCTGTGTCATTAAGCACATTCACATTATTCTGTGCAGCCATCAGCATCATCATCTCTAGAACTTTTCTGTCTTCCCAAACTGAAACTCTGCCCCATTGAACAATAACTTTCTTTCTCTGCCCCTGAGTCCCTGGCAGCAATCATTGTATTTTTCTGTCTGCATGAATTTGACTGTGTACCTCATGCAAGTAGAATCATACAGTATTTTTTCTTCTGTGACTGGCTTACTGGACTCAGCATGTTTTCTAGGTTCATCCATATTGTAGCATGTGTCTGAATTTCTTGCCTTTTTGTGGCTGAATAATATTTAATTATATGTACACACCACATTTTGTTGATCTGTTCATCTGGAGATGAACACTTGGGTTGCTTCCACCTTCTGGCTCTTGTGAACAGTGCTCTTAGGAACATGAGTATACAAATATCTGTGTGAGTTGCTGTATTCAGTTCTTTTGAATATATACCCAGAAGTAGAATGGCTGAATAATATGGTTATCCTATGTTTAATTTTTTTTTTTAAATTTTTTTTTTAATGTTTATTTATTTTTGAGAGAGAGAGAGACAGAGTGTGAGCAGGGGAGGGGCAGAGAGAGAGGGAGACACAGAATCGGAAGCAGGCTCCAGGCTCCGAGCTGTCAGCGCAGAGCCCGACGCGGGGCTCGAACTCACAGACTGTGAGGTCATGACCTGAGCTGAAGTCGGCCGCTTAACCGACTGAGCCACCCAGGCGCCCCTGTTTAATTTTTGAAGGACCGTCAAAACACTTTTCACATGGTGTTACCATTTTACATTCCCACCAGCAATGCACAAGGTTCTAATTTTCCTGCATTCTCCCAACACTTGCTATTTTCTGTTTTGTTTTTGTTTTATTGGAATATCATTTACACACAACCTTTTATTTCAGGTGTACATAATGAGTTTACGTTTATGTACATTGTGAAATAGCATCACAATAACTCTAAGTACCATCTGTTACTATACCGAGTTATAGATGTGTGTGTGTGTGTGTGTGTGTGTGTGTGTCTGTCTGTCTGTCTGTGATGGGAACTTTAAGATTTACTTTATTAGCATCTTTCAGATTTGCAGTACAATATTATTGATTATGATTACCATGCTATACATTATATGCCCTTGACTTATTTATTTTGTAAGTGGGAGTTTGTATCTGTTATTCTCTTCACTCATTTCACCCATCCCACCAACACTTTCCCCTCTAGCAACCATCAGTTAAATTTGTTCTCATTATCTATGAGTTTTATTTTTTTGTCTCTTTGCTTTGTTTCTTAGATTCTGAATATGTCAAATCATATGGTATCTGTCTTTCCCTGTCAGATTAATTTCACTTAGCATAAGTGCCTTCAAGGTCCATTTATGTTGTCACAAATGGAGAGATTTTGTTCTTTTTTATGGCTGAATAGTATTCCATTGTGTGAGAGTGTGTGTGCGTGTGCGTGCGTGCGTGCCTCTTTATCCATTTATCCACTGATGGACACTTAAGTTGTTTCCATATCTTGGCTATTGTAAATAATACTGCAATGAACATAGGAGTGCATATATCTTTTCAAATTAGTGTTCTTGTGTTCTTCAGCTAAATACCCAGAGATGGAGTTGCTGGATCACAGTTCTATTTTTAATTTTTTGAGGAATCTCCAAACTGTTTTCCATAGTGGTTGCACCAGTTTACATTTCTATCAGTAGTGCACGAGGGTTCCCTTTTCTCCACGTCCTTACCTATGCTTGTTATTTCTTGTCCTTTTTGCAATAACTGTTATGACAGGTGTGAGGTGATAACTCATTGTGCTTTTTATTTACATTTCCCTGATGATTAGTGATGTTGAGCATCTTTTCATGTACCTGTTGGCCATGTGTATGTATTCTTTGGAAAAATGTCTATTCAGATCTTCTGCCCATTTTTAAAATCATTGCTTATTTTTTTGTTATTGAGTTGTATGAGTTCTTTATATATTCTGGATATAAATCTTTATTGGATACATGATTTGCAAATATCTTCTATTCAGTATATTGCCTTTTTATTTTGTTGACAGTTTCCTTCACTGTGCTTCTAAGTTTGATGTAGTCTCATTTATTTTCTCCCTCCCTTCCTTCCTTCCTTCCTTCCTTCCTTCCTTCCTTCCTTCCTTCCTTCCTTCCTTCATTGCCACTGACTTTGGAGTCAGATCTGAAAAAATATCGTCAAAACCAATGTCAAAGAGCTTACCGTGTTTGTTTTCTTCTAGGAGTTTTATAGTTTCTGCTCTTACATTCAAGTCTTTAACCAATTGTGAATTAATTTTTGTGTGTGGTATAAGATAGTGGTCTAATTTCATTCTTTTGCATATGACTGTCCACTTTTGCCAACACCGTCTATTGAAGAGATTGTCCTTTATCATATTGTTGCCTTCTTTGTCATAAATTAGTTGACTATGTATGTGTGGGCTCTCTGTTGTGTTCCCCTGATTTTTGTGTCTAGTTTTTGGCCAGTAGCGTACTGTTTTGATTACTATATCTTGGTAATATAGTTTGAAATCTGGGGGCATGATGCCTTTAGCTGCATTGTTTTTTCTCAAGATTCCTTTGGCTATTTGGGATCCTTGTGTTCCATACAAATTTTAGGATTGTTTGTCTAATTCTGTGAAAAATGCCATTAGAATTTTGATAGAGATTATATTGACTCTTTAGATTGCTTGGGGGTAAAATGGACATTTTAATAGTGTTCTTTCAATCCACAAGACCAGACTATTCATTTGTGTCCTCTTCAGTTTCTTTCATCAGTGCCTTATAGTTTTTAATGTATAGATCTTACACCTCCTTGATTAAATTTATTCCTAGGTATTTTATTCTTTTGATGCAATTGTATATGTGATTCTTTCCTGATTTCTCTTTCTGATAGTTAATTGTTAGTATAGAAACACAACAGATTTTTGTATATTGATTTTGTATCCTGCAACTTTACTGAACTTGTTTATCACTTCTAAGAGCTTTTGTGGTGACATCTTTAGTGTTTTTTATGTAGTATGTATATATCAAATCATGTCACCTATAAGTAGTGACAGTTTTACTTTTTCCAGATTAGATGTCTTTTATTTCTTTTTTCTCCCTTGTTGCTCTAGCTAGGACTTTGAATACTTAGTTGAATAAAACTGGTGAAAGTGGGGATTCCTGTTTGTTCCTGATCTTGAAGGAAAAGCTTTCAGCTTTTCACTGTTGAGTATGATGTTACTTGTGGGTTTGTCATATATGGCCTCCATTATATTGAGGTACATTGTGTCTATACCCCTTTTGTTGAAAGTTTTTGTCACAAGTGGGTGTTGAATTTTGTCAAATGGCTTTTGTCTATCTGTTGAGATGATCACATGATTTTTATCCTTCATTTTGTTAATGTGGTCTATCACATTGCTTGATTTGCAGATGTTAAATCATCCTTGCATCCATAGAATAAATCCCACTTGATTATGGTGGATAGTCTCTTTAATGTACTGTTGAATTTTACTTGCTTATGTTTCCTTGAAGATTTTTGCATCTCTGTTTATCAAGGATGTTGCCTTGTAATTTTCTTTTTTGTGTTGTTTTTGACTGGTTTTAGCATCAGGGTAATGTTGATCTCATAAAACGAGTTTGGGAGCATTCCCTCCTTTTCAGTTACTTGGAAGAGTTTGAGGAGGATTGATATTAAATCCTCTTTGAATGTTTGGTGGAATTCACAAGTGCAACCATCTGGTCTTGGACTTATGTTCGTTGAGAATTTTTTGATTACTGATTCAGTCTGCTTACTAGTAATCAGTCTATTTAGATTTTCTATTTCTTCATGATTCAGTCTTGGAAGATTGTAACTTTCTAGGAATTTATCCATCTCTTCTAAGTTGTAAAATTTGTTGGCATATAATTATTTATAGTAGTCTCTTGTAATCATTTGTATATTTCTTTGTTATCAGTTTTATCTTCTTTGATATCTGATTTTATTTATTTGAGAACTCTCTTTTTGTTCCTTGTGAGTCTAGCTAAAGGTTTGTCAAATTTGTTTCTATTTTTAAAGAATCAATACTTTGATCTTTTCCTTTGCCATTTTAGCCCCTATTTCATTTATTTGTGCTCTGATCTTTATTATTTCCTTCCTTTTACTAAACTGGGTCTTCATTTGTTCTAGTTTTTTTTTTTGTTTTTTGTTTTTTTTAGATTTTGTACTTGATGTTTTTTATGTTTCTTGAGGTAGGCCTACATCACTATAAATTTTAGAACTATTTTTCTGTATCCTATAAATTTTGGTGTGTTGTATTTTCATTTATCTTAAGGTATGTTTTTTATTCTTTTTTTGATATCTTTGTTGAGCCATTGGTTGTTCAGTAGCATGTTGTTTAATCTCCACATATTTGTGATTTTTCCAGTTTTCTTCTTATAATTGATATCTAGCTTCTTACAATTGTGATTGGAAAATATGTTCGATACAGTTTCCATTTTCTTGAATTTATTGAGACTTGTTTTATAGCTTAACATACAATGTATCCTGGAGATTGTTTCATGTACATTTGAAAAGAATGTATATTCTGCTGTGTTGGGATGGAATGTTCTTTATATATACATATATAGTCCATCTTCCTGCTTGGATGATCTATTCTTTGATGTAACTGGAGTATTAACATCTCCTGCTATTATTGTATTGCTATCAATTTCTCCCTTTACAAATGTTATATCTTCTTGCTGGATTGACCCCTTTGTCACTGCATAATGCCCATCTTTATCTTTTATTAGATTCTTTGTTTAAGAGTCTATTTTGTTTGACATAAGTATAGCTACCACACTTTCTCTTGGTTTCCTTTGCATGACATATCTTTTTCTATTCCTTCACTTCTAGTCCAGTCTGTGTATGTTCTTCCATATGATGTGAGTCTCTTGTAGGCATCACATAGATGGGCTAGTTTGTTTTTAAAATTACTTAGCCGCTTTATATCTCTTGAGTGGATAATTTAGTCCATTTACATTTAATTATATATACTCATGAACTTGTTGCCATTTTATTTAATTATTTTATGGCTCTCTTATGGTTCTTTTCTTTTTCTATCTTCTCTTGCTTTCTTCCTTTTTGGTTTGATGGATTTATATAGCTGCATGCTTTGATTCCTTTCTCATTTTCTTTTGTGAATCTACTATAGGGTTTTGCTTTGCAGTTACCATGAGGCTTACATATAACAACAGCTTATATACATAATAGTCTAAGTTGACAGCAACTTAAGTTTGAATGCATTTTTACCCTCTCCCCATAAAAATATGTTTTATATTTTTCATATCAAGTTTAAATCTTTTTATTTTGTATATCCCATAACTAATTACTGCAGTTATAGTTATTTCTACTACTTTTGCCTTTTAACCTTCATACTAGCTTTAGAAGTATTTAACTACTACTTTTACTGTGTATTTAATTTACCAATCAGATTTTTATTCATATTTTTTCTTATTAGTTATTACCCTTTCTATTCAACTTAAAGAAATCTCTTCAACATTTCTTATAGGGCCGTTGAGTGCTGATGAATTCCTTTAGCTTTTGTTTGTGTGGAAAGCTCTTTATCTCTCCTTCAATTTTGAATGATAAACTTGCAAGGTAAAGTATTTTTGGTTGCAAGTTTTTGTTTTTGTTTTTGCTTTTCCCCAGCACTTTGAATGTATCATGCCATCCCCTTTGGCCTGCAGAGTTTCTGCTGAGAAATCTGCTAATAGCGTTGTGGGGGTTCCTTTGCAACAAGTTGTTTTTCTCTTGCTGCTTTTAAGAATCTCTAACTCTTGATGTTTTAATTATGTTTATATCTCTTTAGGTTCATCTTGTTTGGAAGTCTCTGGGCTTCCTGGATCTGGATATCTGTTTTCTTTTGCAGGTTAGGGACATTTTCAGCTATATTTTTTCAAATAAGTTTTCTGCCCCCTTTTGTCTTTCTGGAACTCCTATAATGTGGATGTTATTCTGCTTGATATTGTCCACAGGTCTTGTAAGTCCTGGTCTTGTAGTGCACAGCTATCTTTACTTTTTAAAATTAGTTTTTCTTTTTGCTGATTTGTTTAGGTGAGTTCTACTGCCCTGTCTTCTAGATCACTGATTTCATCTGCTGTTGAACCCCACCAGGGCATTTTTCAGTTCAGTTATTGTATCTGTGATTTCTATTTGGCACTTTCTTGTTTCCATCTTGTTAAAGTTCTTGCTGTGTTCATCCATTCTTCTCCCAATTTCAGTGAGTGTCTTTATGACCATTACTTTGAAGTCTTTATCAGGTAAATTACTCATTGCCATTTCTTGTCAGTTTCTTTCTGATGTTTTATGTTGTTCTTTCATTTGGAGTATATTCTTTTCTCCTCATTTTGTTCAGCTTTCTATGTTAGTTTCTATGCATTAGGTTTAACAGCTATCTCTCTCATGCTAGAAAGAGTGACCTTGTGTAGATGAACCTTATCATTTAACCTTGCCCTAGCTCTTGGTTGTCTCTAGAACCTTTGTGATTGTCTAAGCAGCCTGATGTAGTATTGATAGGTCCTAGTTGTTGAGATAGTGCCACATTCTCTGAATATTCAAGAGGGAGAGATCTAGTAGCTCCTAGTTTCAGGCTGATTGGAAGCTAGACCCTCAGGCAGCAGCTTTAAAGGTATGTAAATATATAATTTTGAGGGACAACAGTCAGAAAGCCTGCTTGTCTCCAGGGTCGTCAATCTGGTGGTGTACCCTTGGCGACAAGTGGCAAAAAGTGTTTCACACAAGTGTGTGGACTCCTTTCTGTGCGGTATCAGTGAGCTGCAGCAAGTCCAAGGGAGATTGCAAAGATGACGTCCCCTGGTCTATGTTCACTGAGAGTCCCATAGCCTGTAGATGTGTGGTAATCCTGGAGTGTGCCCTCAGTTGAAGCGCTGGGATAAGTAGATAGGAAGACTGGGAGTGTGTTTTCTTCTGCTGTCTATACAGTGCCCTGGGGGTGGTAGCCTGCCAAGAACCACCTCTTCTATGGTTTCAGACCTGTGGTGCCCAGAAACACAATTCTTCCTGGCCAGGTGCTCAAGGGGCATCCTCTATGTAGGCTGTGCTTTCCCACTGGCTCTGGTGGGGCTGCAAGGATGGGGAAGGGCAGGAGGTGCCCACCAGCACGAGAAAGATAGAGGGAGAATGCAAAAATGACACCCACCAGCACCTCCATCCCAGCAGAGAGTTTGAATACGCTCCTCCCCCTCTGGCAGATGCTTTAAGATTAACAAATGAATCTCCTTCATGTATGTCTAGGTGCTCTTTATACTGCTACTTTTATGCTTGGTCCTGAGGCAGATGAATCTGTGTACAAGTTCTTTAAGAGTAGAATCTCCATGGGCTCCTGGGTGGCTCAAGTCTCTGACTCTTGATTTCAGTTCAGGTCATGATCTCACCTTCAGTGAGTTTGAGCCCCTTATAGGGGCTCGGAGTCTCTTGGGATTCTCG